TTATTGTAAATCCAGTATCTCTCGGCGAATTCAAATTCTTATCAATCATATGACATATCACTTAAGATGAGATTATTCAAAGTAATTAATTATGAATTGTATAATTCTATAAGTTTAGAATTAAGTAATTATCTTGGCAAAAATGAACCAGTTTCCATACAATTTCAAATAGTTTTTAAAATTATTTATTCTTTAACGCATAATCCTTTCTGTTTAGACGAGCATTTATAGATCAAATTATGTTTCATAAAAAATATCATGTGCAATTATAACTTCATTTTACTTACTTTTCTTTGTTAGCGTAACAGTTAGTAAATTACATATTTTAATAACGTAACATTAGTAACTTTAGTTACTTTAACATCAATTATTTTATTAATAAAATTACCATATAATGCAAACGGATGCGAATTAAGCCTAGCAGGCTTTGCATTGTTTGCAGATTGGAGATTCTCTAATAATACCAGTCGGTAGACGAAGCAAAGACACGCGCGATTGACTCTGGATAGCCTTTAATTTTGCCGGAGGTAACCGATCGAAGCATTTGGCTATAAGTATGTATTGAATATTCGCGAGTATTATAGATACATTACCAAACTTGAGGAGCGTCTCTCGCGGCTCAAGGTATATGATCGCGGTTGCGTGTTCACCGGCTCCCTGACCTTTACAATTTCTTTCACGAATCCTATTTGCGCTCAGTGACGTTGCAGTCGCCGAAATAAGCCCGCGATGGTTCGCGCCAGCCTCGTGAAATATTGCTTCGTTACGCTAATTCCATACCCTCCACCGGTGCATGTCGATTGCACATTTCTCTTTCTCTGTCTCTCTCTATCTCTTTCTTTCCCCCTCTCTCTCCTTCTATCTCTCTTTCTCTCTGCATTGAAGATATACCGAATTAACTTTCTAAAATATAAATTTCAGTAGCCGGTTTGGCCAATTTGATTTTAAGCTTGCGGCAAGATGACCGCATGGCCTACTTTAAAATTGGACGAGAAGGTATATGATCGAACTATGCGATATAGGTTACTTAGATTAAATTTAAATTTAGGGCTTTAATCCATTCGTTTCCACGGTTATCTTTTCGGATCATTGGATTTATTCACGAATAGCTCATAGTGTGTGTTATTTGTTCTAGTTATATTTACCGAGCACATACTGGAAATAATACTGTTAAGGAAGCAAATTACAATTACGCATTGTTTTAAATAAGACTTAAATTAAAGAAAACATTCTGCAACAATAAGATTCAGGAAAATTTCAAAGATTATAAAAATATTTAAGAAACAGATACGTGAAACTTAAATTGTAACAAAAAGAATTTTTTTCATAGAAATTAAATTGATGTTTAATTTTATCGTTCCAGAAAATCATTCAAGAAAAAACGATATGAGCTTGATATTTTTTTAATCATAACCTTTATACAGTTTGTCGCATTGACATTACGATTCTACTATTGCAAAGCACGATTCGTTGAATATATCGTAAAACTTTTATCACTGATAGAAATTACGTCGATCGCATCGATGGAATGTTAGCTTCACCGAGACTTTCTGACTGTGAATCTAGTTGATGAATGCCTATACTAATGTACTACTGATATGCTAACGCAAAATTTGGTTAATTATGTTAGTGTACTGTTATAAAAAATATTGTTGAAATTATGTTATCAAATTTTTCTGATGAATTTATGTTATATTGTGTGCACAAATTTTTATATATAGTTATTATATGTGTTAAAAGTAAAAATTAGTTTCATTTTGATATTTCAAATATGCAAACAAACAATTACATTAGAATATATTTTAGATCTTATTTAATTACCAATAAAATCAACATAAATAAAAGTTTAAATTGAAAAACTTACTCTAATATAAAGATATAATATATTTTCTTAAATGTTAAAACAACACTATATAAAAAACAATTGCAATCTGTTAAACTTTGGATAAAACAATTAACTGAGTTATAGCAAAAAAAAAGTTTTAGACATCACGAGAATGTGATGTCAATAACATTGTCATACAAATGCTTGAACTTGAAACGATTGCAATCAAGAACACGAAGTTCGAGAACGATCTATCAGCACTTCTACACTCTGCTAATCAAACAATTACGATCTCAAGCAATTAAACTTAGTTAATATCACTCGCCAATATTAGTTCAATCGCGTTTAATGGACGCAAGCGAATTACGATTGTGCGCGTCCTTTTACATTAGTGATGGAAAGTAGAATACATACTGATCAGCATAGAAATCATATATGGAGTTGCATTACTCGCTAATTATTCATAGAGTAGCGATTCGATTGTATTTAATGCATGCGCATTTGATCAAGCGTATAAAAAAGCTTAAATATTTGTCGCATGTCTTTTAAGTATTTTAAACGTACAATGATACATAATATTTCCATGAAACAGATTTATTCAATGTTATTTAAAAAAAATTTTAAACATTTAATCGTAAATAATTTTGTAACTGTAAAATCTTCACAGTATTCGATAATTTTACTTTTAAATATCTATAGAAAAGCTTATAACAAGTATGCGATTTACAAAATGATAAATTGTTGCACGAGAGCAAATAACTCACTCAAAGCATGACGCCTGCAGGTTAATTCCACATTTATCGATCGAAAGGGGAAAGGCGAAATAAAAACTGGGACGCGCAATCAAAAAGGTCGAACCACGATTTCGGATGCCAATTTTGTAACCGCGGGATGGAAACTTGTCGATAGCCGATTCTACAGCGAATTAATGTATTGAGCGCATACATTTAGTGTTGATTAATTCCGATTGCCGACATGCCAACTTTTGTCGATTTTGTATAACGCGAGCAATAGTTTCAAATTAAATTTATTTGTATAAAAATATTCTGTCTCGTGCGATCTCATATGCATGTAATATCATTCGCATCGAGTACACGAAATGTAGAAAAATCTCTCTCTTCGCCTTTTAATATTTAATGAGATTATTTGATTTTTATTTTCTGCTCCATTGTCTTTCACATATCTCTTCGATAACAAAATATTTAAAGATTTAGATCATATATTGAACTATTATCAAAACTAGACTATATTAAAATTATTATCACATATAAAATCATCAAATATAAAGATGATCATATAAAATCATCAAATATGAAAGATATAGGTCAAAGATTTTCTCTTGTATTTCAAAAAAAAATATATATTATAAATTGTAAAAAATATATTATATATTATTTAAGAGAAATTTTATAACTTATAAATAAATAAAGCAATGATTTCTAATTGAATAGTGAGACATTTCTTTTTCGAGACATGTGTGTATGAATATTATAATCTATAATACATCTGTTTTAATTAATTTTTATATAAATTTTCGAGACACAATAGAAAATCTGGGTCATATTTGATCTCTCGTTATAGAATACCTGTAACTCTGGGATGTAGAATTTTAATCATGACAAAAGAGTATGTCTTTTATGAAAAATAAATTTTAAATGAATTTATTAATCCAGTCTTGAATTGCTTTATTTGAAATTTTATTCTGGTTACTTACTTCACGATTAATATTATTATTTAAATTATATATGCATGTATACAAATTTACTAAAAGTTTCTTAAATATAATTTTTCGTAATAATATAAATAGAAAATGCGATAATCAATATCATATTATTTTTATTGCGCGAAATTCGATATGAAATATTTTGGTGCTGCAAATTTAATGAATATTTAAATGAAATATCGAATTATTGGCGTTTTCACTAAAGACTAAACCAAAAAAGGTCATCTATCGAGAATTTTGAAAAATATTCATATGCACTTATGATAATTATTCGCCTGTATTATTCGTCTGTATTGATTTATCGCTCTGGGAACCATTTTTCTCAGTTATCGTAAACATTGTCAATACATTGAGGCACCGAAGATACCTTTCCCAGAAAGAGTATCGAACGGTCATCGGTGTTTGCGGTGTTCGATGCCAAAAACGTGCGCGAGTAAGGGATGGGTTTCAATACGTATCGTTATATTTAAACAACCCCCCAGTCCGCTTACGAGCGACGACCATAGCGGAGCCGGCGGGCACTTCCGCGTAACCGACCTCGACAAGCCGGGGCGAAATGAGGTCAGGAACGGCGCACACGACGCCGAACGAGGGTCGCGCGTTTGCTTCGCGGCCCACCGGCGCCGCGGCAGCCTAGCTGCTGCTAGCCGGGGGTAGTTTGCCCCTCTCGGAACTGCTCGGCTCGATTCGACGCGACGACGCCGCGCGGGGACACCGTCGCGGCACTCCACCTGCACACCTGCAACGCGCAGCCACACACACCTGCATGCATACTCTACGGGGTGTCTACAATTTTTCGCATTGCCCCTCCTACGAGAATTTTTTGGCACGTTGACTGATCTAACGAGTCGATTCCTTTTTGGAAAATTCGGAGGAGGCTCAGATACGATGCTTCATTCGTACAGATCTGTTTCTTAATTATGTTTGTAGCTTAATACGGGATCTTTTTATTATCTTTATACCTGCATTATTTGCATTTTAGTGAAATTCTCGAAAAAATATGACACAGATCCGCCGTTTAAATTTTTCGATTAAGCTTGTCGGGAGATTTCTTTCATATTAAAAACCAATTGGAATGTAACTAAAAAACGATATTTTATAAATCGTTGAGATTTAATTTTCAAATCAAGATTCTCGTGAATCGTTCTAAGGGCGAAATATGCAAGTTTTAATACTCTTCAATCGCGCATATTGAAATTTCTCAGATATTATCGACGCCACAACAGAAAAAAATGAAACGATCAGCACGTAGCTTATTTTCTTACTACGTGCCGAGGGGTAAGTCCGCGACACCCCGTACACATGGACGAGCAAGCCAACGCCAGTTCGTGCGCAGGAGCTATCGCGTGTCGACGAGCCGGAGGGTGCAGGGGTTGGCGGGGGTGGACGTCCTCAGCGGTTCTCGCTTGTACGGCGAGCGGCCTCAGCGTCATTGGGCGTCGGGACGCCGCCACGACGCCGCGCTCTCGGTTCCAAAACGCGAAAGCGCGACCGCGAAGTGCCGCGACACGAGGACGGGATTCTTTCGGGGTATCTCTCGGTGGAATATTCGTTTTGCGAATTTAGCTCGCGAAAATCGCGAGCGAACGCTTCCTCGAGGGAGACGCGCACCTGGAGGCAGGAAAATTCGCTGATCCACATCGAGGAAAATCGCGACGTCGCGTCGAGATCGGTGGTCGATTGATTTCTCGGAGACATCGATCTCGCGCGAAAATGATATTAGTTATCGTGGACCATCGAACTAGTCGTTCTTGCAAGTGACGACGTTCGTGGGAATCTGTCAACGAGATCACGCAAGGAACATCGATAAGAGGTCACAGAAAATTCAATCTTCCGGAAGATTGACGAGTTTTAATAGATAGATTGTTAGTGTGTGTGTACGTGTGTTACGATCTGTCGACGGGGATGAATGAGAAGACCGCGTGATCCTCGATATCTCAATATCGAGATTCTTGCTTTTCGAGAGAAGCTTGTCTTTTTACAATATCGATATTCTTCCAATCAAAGCCGTGCGTTGCTCAAAAAATCCTCGCTGTTCTTGGATTTAGGAAATTAATAAATCCTGAATCTTGAAAGAAGAAAGGAGATTCGGTGTAGTGAAGAGTAGTGCAATATTTTTTCGAAGTGTCTTAAACTTGATTTACAAAAAGAGATGCTTCAAGTGAGGTAGATTACAAATTTGCAAAAAAGGATCTTTGAAACTGCAAGAAGTGTCTTAAAGAAAAGCGTTGGAGAACATTTTTGCAAAGTGTTTATCCTTTAATTCATTTAACGCCTCGCTGGAAAAAGGTTCTTAGTATCATGAAAAGAATTTATAAATTCTAAATCCGCAAGAGGGGAAAGAGAGAAAGAGAAAGAGAGAAAAAAAGGGGGTTGTCCCATGCATACGGTAAAATCTCGCTAAAAATTTTCAAGTGATATTTCGATCTTTCCACTGTAGATCCACATAATTTTAGTTCTCATCCAAAAGATAATACGAGAATAATTTAGATAGATCTCGCATCCACGAGAGTGCCACGAAAATTTTAGTCAAACATTAATTTTTTCATTTTGTATTCGTATCACAGTATACTAGAAAAAAAGATCGTCAGCATGTTGAGAATAATAATATAAATGTTAAACATTTATACGTAAAATCTCGATACTTTGCTAAAAATCACGATTACTTGTAAGACCGATTCATTCACTCTAAATCTGCGAGGGAAGAGGAATCTCTCGTAAACTCTCAATGAACGCTTATGCAAAGTACTCGAATCTTTCGACTTCGCATTTAGCTAATTTGCTCAAGAGACTACATGGTAAGGGACTAATTACAAATCCGAGCAATCGAATAGGGATAGGATCAGTCCTCCAGTAATCAAGCAACATCCCGAAACAGTCATCGCGACATTGAACGAGATAAACTCCCTGTCGCCGCGCCATCGATTCCGCAGACGGATCGCGTATCCGCCAGCGGCAGTTGGATCTCTGCGAGTGTAGGATTCGAGTGTGTATGTGTGATGACGATGACGATCGCGCCGCGGGGACCGTCGAGGTGACTCGCGGTGGCGGCGGCGACGACGACGGCGACGGCGGCGGAGGTGACAGTTGGAGAACCGGGTGGCATCGCGGCTCGCAGGATGCTGCGAGCGGGGAGAACGGAAGAGAGATCTCGCGGTGCGAATTCGCTCGCAGTCCACGACTGGTAGGACCGATGACGGGGCATCATGACGGTCTAACGGCGCGCGTGACGCCGCGCGTCGTCGCGACGCTCGCGTCGCGTTCGCGACCCCTACTGACGACCCTGACGATGCTGCTCGTCGCGCTGTCCTGCTGCTGCGCTCGCGCCAGCGAATTCCCCGAACGAGAATGCTGCGACCTACCCTACCCGATCCCGGAACCCACCGGCAGGTCCACATCCGCGCCGACGCCGACCGGAAGGAGCGGTAAGTTGTCCCAAGGAATGTATAGCATACACGATGGTCGAGACCAAAAAGAACCAAAAATAATATTTAAAATTAACGACGGGATTAAAAGCGGATGTCACGGATGTGTAGTGAGGCAATTTCCTGCTGTGAATACGCACACATTTATTTATCAAATGTCGAAGGATATGTATAAGCGCACATATAATGAATGTATAAAAATTGTCTTGTTAGATATTTTTAATTTATAGAAAATGGTAATATAAAATAATGATATATACAGGTTGTTTCTTAATAAGCGCGAAAAATTTTAGGAAATAATTCTTTGTCAAAAATTAAGGGGGAATTTTTTATATAAACATATACTCATACATCCTACATCTCCTCCTGTGGAGTTACACTTCTCCAAAAATAGGGATAAAAATTGGATTTTTATTTTTTAGAGTTTAAGTTTGTATTATAATTCTGTTTTTGTTCCAATTTTTTCAACATTACTTAACATTTATTCTAATTTTATTTTTATTTTAAAATTTAACTTCTCGTAATTCGAAACTTATGTCATTTAGCATCATATTGTATGATAATGTATTTTATTTTTTTCTTAAAAACTACTAATTTTATGAAAAAAATAAAAAAAATAAAAAAGTTTTTAAATAAATCATACTTTTTAATGCATATTTTTAAATAATCATATTCCAATCCATTAAAAAGTTCTAAAAAATTGAATAGGGGCTACTAGTTCCCTTTTTCATTCCCTTATAATAATACGGGAGGCTGAAAAAAATATTAATAACTTTTTTACTAGTAGAAAATATCCACCTAATTTCATTTCTTTAACTTGTTCCAAATTTAAGAAAAAAATAGAAATCTAATTTCTACATTTTTGGAGAAGTGTAATTTCACAGGGAGGGATGTAGGAGTATATGTTTATATAAAAAACTGCTCTTAATTTTTAGACAAAGAATCATCTCCTAAAATTTTTCGCATTTATTAAGAAACATTTTATATATCTTTATATAATATAATCATACAAATAATTATAGAAATTAGATGCGAAATATAAAAGTCCGAAAAATTATTGAATTGGCTAAAAATTATTGTTTCATCTGTTAATTTAAACGAGAGCGTAAAAAAGAGAAACGGATAATATTGTGATTATCAATAGCATATCGATTAAGGTCAGTGCCAGCGAATTTTGATTTTTAATGAGATACCGGGGGATATATAAACAGGGTCGTGAGCGAAAATCTGCTTTCATGCAATTCGCACACAACACCAATTATTAGCGAAACAATGAAATAATATTCCGACATTAGCACCGGATTGGAAAATACATTTCCATCGAATTATAATGGTTATGATTAATCATTAAAAACGCATTTTTATTATTGTGACACCTGCGAAATTAAATGTGCGATATATATTGGCACAGAAGAAAAATGTGTATATATTTCCGTAAAGTTAATTTTAACAATAAGATGCAATGCAGTACGATCTAAGAAATATTTATGATCTGAGATAATCATACATATACACAACACATTTCCAGACACATGCAGGTTCAAAACGATAAAAGGGTAAAATAAAAAAGAATACTGTAAATTTAAAGATTTTAAAAGTAAAAGATGTGTCATGTAACAATCTTAAAATTTACTTTATATTCATAAGAATCTGTTATCTCTATTTTTTGAAAATATTAATTTTTTATGCCATGTAATATAATATTCTCTATTTGACTAGAACACCATTGACAGGGAAGGTAGGTTCCAATAATTGGACGGAAACCAATAACTGTAGGTATGCCCCAGCCACGTTCCGTTAACCGCAGCTACTGGATACTACGATTCCTGTTCGCGAATGAGCGGATCATTAATTCGGTTATAACGGGTTATTAATTTAACAGTGCGTAGCCAACTCAAGTTTGTCGCATTATCAATTTAGTGATAAACCCAAAGAATCATAACTCGTGTATTTTTAACTTCTCTTTATCGGAATACGATTAATAAAACTGTAAATTTATTGCAATCAAAAATTAATATGTCCACTTTGCCTCTCATTTGCTTGTCATGATAATGATTCAACTAAACTTTAACGGGATTGCAATGATTAATTAATACAAAATATTTATTAAAAAATCCAAGTGTTGAATAATATAGATTTAAGCTATAAAAAAGGTAAAATTATAGGTTTTTATAAAAAGAATATTTAAAAAATTGAATAGTATAAATAAATTGCTTGCTTTTCAATTTGTTTATTGCAGCGGTATATGCATTGAATGGTTGCTAAATTATTTGAGCAGCAAAACTACTTAGCAAAGTAGCTATTGAAAGCATTCTTTGATCAGAAGAAAAACTTAGTCATAGTTAATCAATAAATTTTTTAAAGGAAGATTCATAAAATCATGAAGTAGAGACATAAAAATCAAATATAAATAAGAAGCATTATTTATATTATGCATTATAGAATTATTGACTTTTTATGCAGCAAATGCAAATGTAAATTTAAATAACTAATGTTAAAAATCTATAGAGAGTTTTTTGATTCGCCAATGAGTAAACTATAGCTCACGACTTTTTCACGACTCATAGCTTCCTCGAATTAGTCGAAGTTCGTAGTTGCACCGTGTCGGTGTATAAAATAACGAGGGAAGTTACCGCGTAATTGATCGCATTATTTGTGTCTGTGTGAGCACTCCAGTCTCGTACTCGGATGAACTTCGATTGAGGTCGCGCGCTCGATCGAAGATTATCTACGCTCCTCGCTCGCTAGAGCGATAGCGTAAGTTCAGGCAGAGTGGAAGTCGTTTGTACCCCTTGTGGAATTTCTCGCAAGGCATCGGCTACGTGACCATAGAGAGCATTAATGATGAAAGATTCGATCCGCTCTATTCGCACGTTTATACCAGATGACCCTGAGTGGTTACTTGATGCTGTTCTAATTATGAATACATGTAAATAAGATTGCATGTAAATAGCTTTTTTGATAAAACAAAAATTTCTCTTGAGAAGTCATTATCGTTTGTGATTTTCGAGTTTTTAATGCTACAGTTTTTAATGCTATGATAGTTTTATAATGAATCCCTTACTCTCTTTACAACCATAATCATATATGTTTTTACATCTTTATCTATGATAATATAATAATACATATATACTGTTTTAAAGTTATTTCATTTAAACATTGTATTATTTGATTTATAGACTGTACATCGCACAATTTATTTACATGTTAACAGAAATTATCCGATTTAATGAACACTTTGTACACATATGACTATGTTAATATAATATGTTAATACATAGCTGAGGATAATTTTTTCTCCGTTACGCACATATCTAATTATTTTTGCATGTTCGCTATTTAAAACTATCTGTACTTATTTGTCCATATTTTATCGTTGGAATTCAACACGTATTTTGCTTGGAATAATTTTTTATTTTTATATGCAATCATATGTAAAAACGTATCAAATTACGTGTTGTCATTCTCTGCTCTTTTAAATGGTATTTGGTATGTCGTCATTATATTTAATAAAATTGGAAATAATTAAAAACAAATATAGACAATAAGCAATATATTTCATTCATGGAATAATGATTTTCTTCAGAAATCTACATTTAATTAATTTTATTATACTTATAGCGAGAAAAATAAAAATGCTAATTACAGAAATAATTTCAATTATAATTTTGAATATTTAATTTTTACGTAAAATAATTATTCACTACATGTTGATCAAGTTTTTAAGAAAGACTTTTTACTTATAAGCAATTTCCTTTCCCTTATATTATATAAACGTTTTCTGTAAAGTGTCTATCAGGAAAGATCTAATGACGAAACGTGATCTGCTTTATCGATTGTCTCGCTTAACGGTTATGGAATTAATTTCTTGGTGGGCGATTATGAGCTCGCCAAGCGTATAGTCGGTTTCTTTTTCAGAGGTGCTGAATTTTCGAAGTAATCAGGAGCGACGAGAGTCACGTAAATGCATAATTGCAGTCGGTTCGTTTGCACTCCTTCTCATCCGTGACATCCCGAAATAAGCTTCCGCGGAATCGTCTTACATTCCCCACGATACTTTGCCACAGTGGTATGGCGTTCTACGTGCTTAATGATGAAAGATGATCACCCGGACGGGTTCCAATTTATCGCTCGTTTATCGGCCGGCGTTTCATAAAACGTTCGGACCAATCGAGGGCGAAACAATTCTCTTCGCAAAACTTGCGGCAGAACGTTTAATTTGCGTTAACTGGAAAACTTTGCCTCAAGAATTGATAGCAATTTTGCTGGAAGTTAGCTCAGGTAATCCATCATAATCCAGAACAGAATTGTACAGTGTCGTGCAAAATGAGACCAAATGACATTTAACATATTATGAGAAAACTAATTTCAATATATATAATTGTGAAGCTCTTTTAGAATTCTACAATGATTTAAATGATTTAAATACATTTGACAAAATATTAATTTTCTTAACAAAATATTTTCCACTGTGTTCAAATTATCATTCAGTGTGCGAATATTATTTGGAATTTTATTACGGAGATAAAAGTATTGTAATATTTCATTTCATTAATATTGATCTTATAAATTGATTGTATTAATAATCAGAGTTATTAAATTCGTCAAATTTACGTACTTTGTGACACAGCGGCATTGATTTGTATTATACATAATATAGGACAAAGCAACATTCATTACCATTCGATGAAAATTTACAATTTGCGGATATATAAAATATTAATTTCTAGTATATAGCTTATTTCAAAAGGTAGCGATTTAATGTAATTAAAGTGTCATTTAATTTGTGATTCTCATTAAAAATTTTATTATTAAACATTGCGACCGATAAAATATCACGACAATTGTAACGAATTTCTGATCGATTATGAGCGCATTGAAATGATGAAAAATCCAGAGATAATTTGAAATAATTAGATTAACATATGGAACGTGACGTATATTGATATCTCTGTATTGATTTCCACGCCGTACGGTTTCAGTAGACACTCCACGATGGA